TTACATTTTTACTCACTCACCTTTGATGTTTTGTAATTGAGCAGTTTTTATCAAGATCAAATTGGGGTAAATAAGAAAACCCACATTTTAGTGGATTACAAACTTCAATGCATTTAGATTTATTGTTTATTTTAGATTCTTACAGTATCAAACACACCAATTTGGTATCCATAAAGTATGTTTGATGTTTACAAACCAACTTTTAGAATAACAATCAAACATTCAATCAAAGAAATGTTATTTAATCTGCCATGCCTTTAATTATATTTGTATGAAACTTTGCATATGTATTTTGCTGGTTGAATTCACAATTTGTGTGTGCAAGACCAGAGAGATTATGGATGATTCCGTTTCAGTGATGTTTGTTGACTGGATTGTTTACGAGCTGCCTTTATTATAGCCTGAATATTTCTGATTTTTTAGTTAAAACAATATTCACTCACTCATTTCCCAGATGATTTCAGTTCTGACAGGCTTTCTTTAAAATTGGGTTGTGGGGTAGCCTAGTGGTTAAAGCGTTCGCTTGTCACATCGAAGACCCGGGTTCGATTCCCCACATGGGTACAATGTATGAAGCCCATTTCTGATGTCCCCCACCGTGATTTTGCTGGAGTATTGCTAAAAACGGTATAAAACCATACTCACTCACTCTCTTTTTAAATTGTGGGCAGGAAGGACTTACTTGTGTTGCCCCCATGACGACGTGGAGAAACATTTGATACTGATTATGTATTTTGATGCGATCTTTTGGCACACGATTGGGATGTTTTGATCGTTCTAAATGAACCTGGCTGGTGGGGTAGCCTTATGGTTAAAGCACTCGCTTGTCACACTAATGGTCTGGGTTCATTTCCCACTTCTAGTGTACCCTGTTGTGATTTTGCTGGATTATTGCTAAAAGTGGCTTTAAACCACCCTCACTCACTCACTCACTCACTCTTTTGGAATTGGGGATCAACTGTCCAAACATTTGTGATAGCTCTTGGGTGAAATTGGGCAACCCCCTAACTGGATGCATCTGCATACCACTTAATTTATCTTGGCATCCATTTTAAAACATATGAGTGTACATGACTCGTAAAAGTAAAATGTACAGGGCTTCCTGCAGAATCACATCTAATTAACCTGAATGGTCACAGGTGTAGGAAAGTATTTATTGATTTTCTTTACATGAATACAATCAATTAGTTTCAGCATGGTACTATCGTAGTATCAGACAAAGGTTACATCACACAAAGCTTACTACACTGTGGTTTCAGGTACCAGTTACATAAGCTCATTACAGGGGTACCTAAATGTTGTTAGGCTTCACCAGAAGGAAAACCTGATGATTGCAGGGTGGTCAGTTAGGGTGATGGGTTTTCATGCAATGATGCGACACACATGACATGTTGGTTCCTGTATTGGTGCAAGGTTATTCTCTTCCCAAAATACTCACTTCTTGTTTTATAGTGACCACCCCATCCCATATTTTGTCAGTTAATATGGCAATATAAATTGTCTTTAGTATTTTTAAAGTTCACTACTATAGTTTCAAATCGGTATTATTGGTTTGTATTACAAGGGGGTTTGCACATTAAATGAAACACCGAGAACAAGGAGGGTTGGTTTCTACGGTAGTCTAAGTTGATGCACATCACGTACCGCACGTGCATTTGTTTCACTGTTCCAACTACTGCACTTACCCCCTTGTAATACAAACCAATATAAGCGATTTGAAACTATGATCGTTTGTTCAACAACTTTTTTCCTAAGTGGAATAAAAATCTAAGATTTAAATGTTCAATTGGAAAGGTAGAATTATGAGGATTCACAATCTTAATGTCACTTTATTCGATTTACATTTCTGGTGTTCCCCGCTGTGATCTTGCTGTGATATTGCTAAAAGCGCCGTAAAACCAAACTCACTCACTGAAGAAAAAACAAGTTCTATGGATAGTCAACTTCTTTATTGCAATGAGTGCGACGTTTCGGTGTAGGTACTAACACTGTTATCAAGCAAGTGATACAAAGAGGTGAGGTGAAATTGGGTTTTTACGTCGTGCTTGAGAATATTTCGTGATACAAAGAGTTGCAACAAGGAGAATATATACATAGCTGCATAGTGTGTATATACAACTGACAAGGTTGATATACATTGTATTGCTAATTAGTGATTTGAGCAGAGTAGGTTGATGTACAGAGTGATAGTGATTAAAACAATATGCAAAATGAGTTTATACAATAGAAGAGTTGATGTACATTGAGATGGTAATCGTGAGTTGAAGAGAGTAGGTTGATGTACACATTGATTGGTTGTGATTACAATACACACAAGGGAGCATAGAAGCCAATTGGATGAGGTATGGGTGGATTAGTGGTGATCTTTAATTAGGTGGTGATAGGCTGAGGAGATAAAATAACCTTGATCCCGGTTCATGGTGGGGTTGTGTTCTTTACTTCTGAGTGGGAGAGGGCGGGACGTTTCACCTATGTAAGAGTCTCCATATTGGCAATTGATCTGTAGACTACTCCTGTGGGGTCTTCTTTTTGTTGTTGATGGGGGTTTGCCTGTGGTTTGGAGGAGCACTTTCTGGAACAGAACGTCTATACCAGCTTGCTGCCGAAGTCGTCTCAACTGATGGCTGACTGCTGGGTGCTGATTCCCGATATGAGTCACACGCGTGATATTGGTCACACGTGAAAATGGAGATACAATGTCCGCAATGGTGTCACATTGCTGGAACCCTTGCATAGTGGAATTTGTTCTAGGGAAGTGTGAGTGTTGGTGTGTGTAACATGTACTTGGGGGGAGAAGAAGAATGTAAGCAATTTTGTACATGTATTTAATAAAAAATTAAGCTCCAAAATTATTGGAAGGGGATAATTGATCTTGTACTTGGCATGTGGGTGGGGCACTTACGTTGTACATAATTTTATTTTGTTTTATTTTATATTTTTTAAGGGGGGGTGTCATTCACATTGTACATGCTTCTCCGTGAAAATAGTCTTCACCCCCCTAGCCATAAATTATGAACGGTCCCTTACGACCTAATCCGTGTGAGATGTCCTATGAAATATGTTTGGTCAAGAGATAGAAAAGGGCATGATCTCACCCTTACCCTAGCTTTAGTTAGGCGACATACACAGCACCAACACAACAACCGCTACCACTAGGAGCTGACCTACCTCATAACGCTTCATGAAGATAATGAAAATTTTTATAACTGACAGCTATCAAGTCCATGTTGTCAATTGATTTGATAGTTTGTGGTTTAACTCCGCACTCAGCAATATTCCAGCTGTACTCCTCACAAAAAATTAAGCAACAAGTATTTTCAGTGTGTAATGTCTTTATCAATCACGACAGCGATTTTTGCCGACATGTTACAGAAAGGTAAATATTCACATAATGCACAACCTTAAGTGACTGTCAAATTGATTTATCTGTAACATTGACAACATCACCCAAACACAACCACCCTCAGAAACAACATGCAAAATGTGTGGCATGAATGTGCTCCACTCTTCACACATGCACCCTGATCGGTGTAAACCTACCTGTAATCATTCCTCTGGTACAACAAGCGGGTCCTAACTTCATTTTTATGGATGATAATGCCCGAGAACGAGTTGTTTAGATCAACATCACATATAGGGAGTGGCCTGCATGGTCACTTGATCTTAATCCCATTGAACATGCTTGTGACATTGCAAATCATGTTTATGGTCTCCATGTTCACCCCCAGACTCTGGATGACCATGAGCAGGCGTTACAGAGAGAATGGCAGAACATTCCACAACAGCAACTTTAAAGGCTCATTTGGTCAATGCAAAGATGTGTAGAAGCTTGCATTTGTGCTCATGGTGGTCATACGCGTTACTGAACACTGCTTCACTGTCCAAAAATGACTTGAACCTTAATGTTAACATTTTGCTCCATCAATGCAGCACATTTTGCATGACTGTTTCACGGGTACATGCTTTTGATGATTTGTACGTCTGTTATTGCTCAATACCATTTCATTTCATTAATCGTGTGTATATATGTTTCACCTTTCTATTGCATCATTCCATGATTTGCAATTTCAATAAATCAAAATGTAATGAGACTACCAATTTGTGTTGCTTAACATTTTGTGATGAGTATATATGAAGGTGGTCTGTAAATAATCAAATCTGGACCAGACAATCCAATGATCAACTGCATGAGCACTTTCTGAGAACCCTTGCATACTGTAATATGGGGGTGGTGGGGTAGCCTAGTGGTTAAAGCGTTGGCTCGTCACGCCGAAGACCCAGGTTCAAATCCCCACATGGGTACAATGTGTGAAGCCCATTTCTGGTGTCCCCCACCATGATGTTGCTGGAATATTGCTCAAAGCGGTGTAAAACCAAACTCAGTCAGTCAGTCAGTGTAATATGCATATCTAGTGCATGCCCATTTCATGTTGTTCGAAGCCACAACATAGCCTCCAAGTGTTATTGATACTTAGACGCATTCTATTACTGGAACAATGAACTGCTACATTGAGAGGAACTAGGCTTAAAACATTGGGCCTTGTCTCACAAGTGAATGTTTTGAACCACTGGGCTACCACACCACTGACCTTGAATGAAATACTGATGACACATAATCAATACAGTAAAAATTTAGCAGTGGCTATCTCAGCCAAATAATGAAAACAGCAAGTGAAGTCAAACAGATTAGTCTTACGCCGCTTTTAGCAATATTCCAGCAGTATATCGACGAGGAACATCTGAAAGGGGCTTCACGCATTGTACCCATGTCGGGAATCGAACCTGGGTCTACAGAATGACGAGCAGGTGCCTTAACCTTTAGGCTACCCCACCGTCCCAGGTGATGAAAGGGAAGCGTTGGATGAGGTTACAGACCATTAAAGGTGTTGTAATAAATGGAGCAGTTCGCTGACTCAACGCCCCAGTCCCAACCATTACACGTATCTATCTAATGAATTCAGTCAAACAGAAGTCAATTGGAATAACAAACAAACAGAACATTGAGTTCCAATACTTTATTTACAGGACATCTTCAATAAATGAAGAAACTTTCAATTCAACAGAATGAAAGAACAGTCAATATTTACAAATATCATAGTACATAGTACCAATACAGTGTGTTAAGCAGTCTATACACTATTTACATGGACAGAACAGGATACACATACTGGCCATATGGTATCCTTATTTTAGAGATGAAAATATATTTACAGTCACATGTGTGATGTATGACCGTCCTTGTGGTACTTCATATCTTTGTGTCACTGTCTTTACAATATTAAAAGAGTTACTTGCCCTTGACAAGGGAGACAACCCCTGGACCAAATAGCAGCCTTAGAGTTACCCACCCTTCGCAAGGGAGACAATTCTCAACAAACAATCAGGATAATAAAAGTTCAATAAATATTATTGAACACCTAAAACATCAGAATTCAGATCTAATGGCTTTAAAAACTATTTTGTGCATGTATGATATCATCACAGAAATTGAAAGGACATTTGTATATCAGTCTTGTACCGTGACCTTAAACTGAGTTAACAATCATCCCCTACATTGCACCTCCCCATTTTAATGAGTGTGTTTAGTTGGCAGGTTTATCCGAAATACATATACAGATTGCTTCTAGTGGACATGGTACAGACAAATCTTTGTTCATGACTGGTGTTCCTGCTGGAACTTCTTCATGAAATTCACAAGGACTAGCGCCTCGTCCACCTTGACAGCATTGTAGAGTGAAATTCGCAGACCCCCTACAGATCTGAAATAAGACAAATAAAAATATAATATATTATAACAAATATAAGACATGTATGAACTCTGGGAAGTTTTCGTTAACTGTGGAAAATTGGGACCGTTATTATCAAACAAAGTTACAATAAATGGTGACGCGATGTGAACACTTGGCTACTGAGGTCTTTGAGTGGCATTTAGTGATACACATAAGGAGGAGAGTTTAATGGATCCAGTGATCAACATCATGAGCATCAATCTACGTAATTGGGATACGATGACATGTGTCATTCAAGTCAGCGAGGCTGACCACCTGATCCCGTAAGTCGCCTCTTACGACAACAATGGTTACTGAAGACCAATTCTAACCCATATCTTCAGGGGTCGCTGACCAACTAGCTGGACGCTCACAATGACAATCACTGGATTATCAGATCCAAGGTGCCGTTGCACAATGCAGTTTGAGTAACAAGTCTATGTTGAGGTACAGGAGTTAGGACCACCTTAGCGCTAAGACCGCTTTGTACTTTGGTTTTTAATGGCTGCTGTCATATACCCGGTATACTGCCGAGTGACGACAAACGAACAATTAGTGGGACAACACCAACTCACCTATGACCTTTAAGTGAGACGAGACCATTTTCTGTTGCTTCCTCAATGAACTTCTTCTCCAGAGCTTCAACTCCCTCCATGGAACCGATACGGACTGGAATATTCATACGACTCCGACATTTCGTATCTAATGGGCAGCTGTAAGACAATACAACCAATATAAGAACAGAGAATAAATAATAAACTGGTTATTAATGTTGTAAAAGGGTACTAAAATTATAGCTTGCATATTTAAGTTTTGCAAAACTAAAGGAACACAACTCTGTACAGATCAAAATCAGGGGACAACTCTAAACACAATGGGAAATAACTGCACAAATCAAGTAGAGACAACTCATACAACTTCAATCTGTGTTGATTGCAATATATTTTAGTGTCTTGTTTGAAACTATGACATCTTTTCAATGTAATTTGAGAACTTATTTAATAATGTGACCTGATTCATATAATTTCAACCCACAAATAGTTGATTTCATACTTTTCTGTCATTACATCACATAGTTTAGTCACAATATGTGTAAAAGAAAAAAGTGGCATTGGTTAACACATACTTGAAGAAACCGTTTGACTGGTTGATGAGATCATAAACTGCTGTTGACTTGGCAACTGCATTCTTCTCCATCTTCTCAACACCTCCTTGTTTCTGAATCCATTCAAAGACGAGCCCCATGATATAGATGCTGGAAGATGAAAGAATCATTAGAAAATGAAATATTTTTTTTAAAATAATGAATAGAAATTACACATTTCCCAATAAATTGGATTCTTTTAAAGACTGTGTATTTTAAAGATGCATTTTCACATTTTTCTCAGCCTCTTATTTGCTTGACCCAAGCTCAACTATTTACAGAATGCCATTAGTGTTAACATACGTTATATTTGGGATTTGGGGATATTTGGGATTACACTTTCTCAATAAAGTACAGATTTACATTTGACCACTTTCTAAAATGGCATTGTGTATTTCACACCATTAGTTTTGCTTGGCAAAATAACAAACAAAATATTTGAGTGAGTGAATGAGTTTAGTTTACGCCACATTCAGCAGTATTCCAGCTATATGGCGGCAGTTTATAAATAATTGAGTCTGGACCAGACAATCCTGTTATCAACAGCATGAACATCGATCAACGCAATTGGGACACGATGACGTGTGTCAACCCAGTCAGCGAGCCTGACCACCCAAACCCGTTAGTCTCCTCTTACGACAAGCATGGGTTGCTGAAGATCAATTCTAACCCGGACCTTCATGGGTAACAAAATATTTGAGGAGGAAGGTCTGCTGTACCTGTAGGTGGGAGGAGTATTGTAGAGGGAGTTGTTGCCGACTTGTGTCTTGTAGTCGAAGATGACGGGACAGGTGGGCATTGCATGACCGATGAGGTCTTCGCGGATGATGACAAGGGTAACACCTGCACAGCCGATGTTCTTCTGTGCCCCAGCAAATATCACACCAAACTGAAATAAAAATGCAACTTAATCAACCATTTGATATTAATATCATTTGTAATATATTCTGTAGAATCCTATGACCGTAGACCGCCTCCATGGTGTAGTGGTTAGAGTGTCCGCCCGGAGAGCAGAAGGTCGCGGGTTCGATCCCCGATCGCGTCATACCAAAAGACGTTAAAATATGGTACTTGTTGGTCCCTGCCTGGCGCTCGGCATTAATGGGTACAAGGACTGGTCGGCTTGAAGTCAGTATAATGTGTCTGAGTGGGGTATTCATGCTTCACTGCAGCATGGTATCTCAGTGGGCTAGCACTATAAAACCAGCTGAAGTCTGGGCTAGTACAAGCAGCCGCACATACACATACACATGCATGCACGTCGTCATATGAGTGAAATATTCTCATGCATGATGTTAAACCCAATTTCACCTCACCTCCTATGACCCTAACATTGTGTTTCTATGGTTGTGCTTGTGGTTTTTACTCTCACCGGAAATCCAAGGTCTCTGATATCAAATTAATGAAGGTGGAAGTTTGTAGCCAATCAAAGAAATAGGCTTAACACATTGTACCCATGTGGGGACTTAAACCTGAGTTTTTGAGTGATGAGCGTTGGACACTTGAACTACTAGACTCACAGTGTGACAGCCTTTGGTACTCACCTTGGAAACATCCACATGTCTTGAAAGAATATTTGAAGACATATCACAGACTAGCGGGACACCATGTGTCTCTGGGACGAACTGGAACTCAACACCTGGTGGCGAAAAAGCAACGAGTCAATAACAGTGAGTGAGTATGGTTTTACTCCGCTTTTAGCAATATTCCAGCAAAATCAATGGCAGGGGACACCAGAAATGGGCTTCACACATTGTACCCATGTGGGGAATGGAACCCGGGCCTTCAGGTTGATGAGCAAACGCTTTAACCACTAGGCTACCCCAGTAAGTAATGTCTGATTACCTGATTCAGACTGATGAATCAAAAAAGTTTCCTGGCACCTGACTATTGCACTAATTTATCACCAGGTGATGTTTTTCATAATCTCATGAGAATGTATTATTAAACATCCAAACATGTTTAAAATGTAACCAGACTTTCTATTTCTATCTGATTATAATGAAAGCAACCATATTTTATATTTAATTTCTAAACCACCAATCAGAATAAAAAAATGAATCTCCAAAGATCAGTAAAATATGTACAATAATTGTGTATTCTAAACAGTTCTGTTATCTATTTCTTCCTCTGCCAGCTTACCATGAATTGTTTCGTTGGCACAGTAATAGACAAAAGAAGCATCTGGATTCAGCTTCCATTGAGACTGGTCAGGAATAACTGGAAACACAACAATATTAACTTCATAATCAAACACAAATAAACATCTACTGTTTCATTTCTTATTGATAAAATCCAATTGCATGTGTATAAAGTAGGATTTTATCATGTTCATATTGAAATTGTACTGGAGGTATCAAGGGAAATAACTCTATTCGGCTTATAAACAACATGGCTGCTTCAAGTTGGTCAGCAGTCATTTGTACACATCAACCAGTTAGGCCACAGCAAGTAGAAAAAACTTGTATTGAATCATCAGGTAGGGCCTTGTTATACCCCTTGTTTTCTGATTCATTTGGATATTTTGTTGTAGATATGATAATTCATCCTGAGATGAAATGTGCGTGCATTGCTACATTCCCATCCCTGTCAACACTAAATATGTCAGATATTGTCGACTTCATGACAAATATACAGGTGATGAATTCAAATTGTTCATTGATTATATATTGTGTGCTCCCTATATCTCATTCTCACCTGTATATTTGTCTGTTTTCGGCAGAACCCGGTTGATTTTTCCAAATTTCTCGGCCTCCTTGGCAGCTTTGGCTGACCAGCTCCCTGTGACGATATAGTCTGCTGCCCCACTTTCATTCCTCTTGATGAGGTTCAAGGGAACAGCAGAGAACTGTCCAGTGCCACCACCTTGCAGGAACAGCACCTTGTAGTTGTCAGGGATACGGCTGAAAGAAAAGATCACATTGATAACAGACAAACAACACTTTCCTCAAACAAACTTCTATATTGGAGTCAGCATTAGTTAACACAACGTTCATCAACAGTCGGATAACACCAAGATGGGTAAGCACAGAATGACCCTCACATTGTACCCATTAGGTATTTGAACCCAGACCACAATGCTTAAGCCACTACACTTTCACTTTATACTGGAGTTTGGCAATTTGTCCATAGATGTAGTTAAGATCACAAAGTCTTATAGTAACGAACAACTATGTACTCACAGCAAATCCCGAAGATCTTTCTCAGCTTGGTCGATGATCTTCAAGAAGTCAGAAGATCTGTGGCTCAGTTCTGGAAAATAGATTTGCAACATACAATTGTCTAAATATTTAATTAAGATTGCAACATGCATGTGATATCAGTCACTGTATTGTCTGGTCCAGACTTGATTATTTACAGACCACCGCCATATAGCTGGAATATTGCTGAGCGTGGAATAAAATAACAAACAAACAAATACCTGTCCCTTCCTCTCCATTGTCTGCCGTCTATCAGCAGCAGCAGCTAAAGTAATGGGCAGTTAACGCAGGGCTCGATTTAAGAGATGGTAAACTACTTGCACCAGGTGCCACCTAAGATAAAAACCTATTTGCACCAGCCAAATTCCAGTTGCAATGCTTTTTTTGCAATATGTAATGAAATAAATATGCTATTGAATTATTCAAAGTTGATAAGAAAAATGAGCTGACATGATTATGCTTATAATGTTAGATTTACATTTGCTTTATTTCTCAAAAATTGACTTGCACCTGGTGCAAGTTATACTAATAATTAGGTTGCACTTTGTAATATTGGGTTGCACCAATGCAAGTAACAAAGCACTAAATCGAGCCCTGTAACGGGATCGGGTGGTCAGGCTAGCTGACATGTTTGACACATGTCAGTGTATTCCAGTTGCATAGAGCGATGCTCATGTCGTTGATCACTGGATTATCTGGTCAAGACTTGATTATTTACAGACGGCACCATATAGCTGGAATATTGCTGAGTACAGCGTTAAACAACACACAAACTCTGCCCTGGGTTGGTAGAAACAGGAATCATGCTTTTCATCTTTGGGTCTACAGAGAAATGTGACTTACCCATGACGCTGATTCCAGTATTCTTGTAGCTGATCATTTCTTTCTGTGCATGTTCCAATACCTGCAGACAAAGAAACAAAAGTTTTATGATCTTATCTCCTTTGATGAGAAGCAGCCCCAAACAGAATTTGTCTTGGCATCTAGCCGAAGACCATGTGAGGTACATCAGTGAACAGTGCTACTAGTAAATTAGTCAGGAACAGTGCTAGTACTAGTAAATTAGACAGGAACAGTGCTAGTACTAATAAATTAGACAGGAACAGTGCTAGTACTAATAAATTAGACAGGAACAGTGCTAGTACTAATAAATTAGACAGGAACAGTGCTAGTACTAGTAAATTTGACAGGAACAGTGCTAGTACTAGAAAATTAGACAGGAACAGTGCTAGTACTGGTAAATTAGACAGGAACAGTGCTAGTACTAGTAAATTAGACAGGAACAGTGCTAGTACTAGTAAATTTGACAGGAACAGAGCTAGTACTATTAAATTAGACAGGTGCTTTAACATACAATACATGATCATATGTGCTCATAGGCCTGGGGCCAATAATTATTGCTTCGAGGTGTCACCTTTGTAACAAGGTGAAAAATGTATTTCTGCATTGAAATATTGACATCCTCGTAACAGAATTTTTTTCCCTGGCATTGAGTATACTACTTTATGCAATACCAAAAGCAGGCTGGTACCCTACTAAACCAGACTGTTAGATTGTACAGGTCAGTGTCAGAGTTATATATGTTACTAGTTTCATATTGATCATGTTCAGATCAATTCCAGCTGTTCAGTTGACTGTTATCAAAGGTCAAGTGATGAATCATTCCCACACCCTGATGGGGTCAGCGTTAGTTTTGCAAGGAGTGGGTTTATTTATTTTTAGTGCAACGGGGTATTCAGTTTTGGCACCCGAAGTATTAGCACCCTACGGGAGGGGGTGCCTACCTGTTGGGCTGGGTGGTTTTTTACCGGCATATTTTTGTAAAAAAAATTAAAACGATGAAAAACAAGGAACTTAATATATTGCTAAATTTAATCTCGGGAAATATCACAAGGATTAGCAGATACTTTCCGTGCATATTTCAGCGGGAATCATGCATCTGGGTGTCAACTGGGTGCATTATCAGATGGGGGGATCTGACAATGCATCCTGATGACACTAATTAATTCGCTAAAAAAACACAGAATAAAAGCGAAAGGGGATTAACAGGTGGTAAGGTTTTTAATTGCAATTCAAAGATATGTGCTGTGTTGACACGAAAGAACAGCCACTCACTGTCAGGGTTGTCAATTTCAAAAGATTCCGTTACGTAAACCGGCTTGGGTGCGTTACATAATTTTCCGCGTCACACGGAAAACGGTACTAATTAATGCATTTTATCTGCATATAACATCTATTATAGTGACAACCCTCGCTTTTTAGCATAAATTTTCATTGCTGCATATAAACACAATATAAAAGGTTTGTCATCACCTGATGACGGTGGAGAATTTCCACAAATCTTCATTTGCAAATAAACAAAGATCATTTGAGATATATATTACCTCTTCGGGGAGTTTAGCTGGTCCGGGTGAAAAATTGATGATTTTTGTAGCAGAAGGCATCGTGGTGGTTGTATTCGGTGAAGATTTTCTCACATGAAGTTTGCAGGTAAAATGCTAGTCCTCAACGCCGTGGTGGTGTTTAGGCCAGTTGGTGTGAATGAGCTGAGAGGCAGAATGATGGCTTGCGTCAGGTTTTATACTCTCGAGGCCTTACCGGTACATTGTCCTGGGTTCTGATTGGTTGATGCTGGCTGATCGTCTGATTGGCTGACGCCCTGAGAGAAGGTCGGAGTTCATCGGGTTTCACGTGAACAAACCATGCTCTCCAGCGAATCTGAAGCCGAGGTCTGAATGACCTAGAAGAAAGGGTCACGTGGTTCCTCCATATTAGTGCATAGTGACCAAATAAGCGCATGCTTCCATATTAGTGCAATATAACCATATTAGTAAAATGTTACTACAAAACACCAGAATCATTTCCTGGTCCACGAAATGGATGCATGCGTGGTTATTTTACGATGGCAAAGGTAAAAACGAGTGAATTTAGTGTTTGTAAGTGTAAAAGATGATGAAATACTTCTACAACAAGCGTGAAATGAGGTCAAGTCTATTTGGGAGAGGAAGTTTCCTGCGACAAACGGCCTTGAGTTGCCGGCGACATGAAATGTTAGTGAGGTCAAGATCGACCCGTTACTGCATGATGAAATACACCCAATGGCATCAGCTGACTCAGAACCCATAAACAAAGAACGTCGGAGATATGATCCATGCAATTTTGCAGACGTATGCAAAATGTAGTTAAGTTGTTATAAAAAAAAAAAATATTTTATTTGTAAAGGTGTGCATTCCTACATTGCCACACAGCTATAGTCACAGGTTCATCATGAGGAGTTATACAACCGTGGTCTCACAGTAAGTATGGGGATGTAAAATGACGTAAAAATAGCAAGTCACAATTTGCATAATAACTTTTATTATGATGTGTTGTTGTTTTTACTTTCTTTGCTTCCCTTCCGCCTCGTTTTCATTTTAATATCTTCTCCTACTCATTGACGTTGCTATTAACGATATTTATGGGGCCTTATGGTTAAAGCGTCCGCACGTCACGCTGAAGACCCGGGTTCTATTCTCCACATGAGTTCAATTGGTGAAGCCCTTTTCTGGTGTCCCCCGCAAGGATATTGGCTTTTTAATTTAGGCTGCACTGAATTCTAGACGTCAGTTGGAAACATACCAGAATATGATCAATCAATCATCCTTTTTATTACCATAAGTTTACAAATACATGCAAAGCATCATGGGGGGTATTTTTCAAAAATATATCACTTTTAGGCTATGGCTTGAAACAAATCCAGCAATTATGTACAGGTAAATTAATCATGTCATGTTGACAGACATTATAATGGAAATAAATTTACATAGATTTCTTAATTGCTTCATATTATGAGTTTCAAATAGGGCTGACATTTTATAATGATCAGCAGTGCATATATTTGCTTTTTTTACTGAAGTGATAGAATGCCTGTACAGCCTGGGTCGAAACAAACGATGGTTTTGTACCGATTGACACGTGTTTCAGTATATGCACACCTTCCAGTACACACACATGTTCAGTATATGCACACCTTCCAGTACACACACATGTTCAGTATATGCACACCTTCCAGTACATCCACATGTTCAGTATATGCACACCTTCCAGTACACACACATGTTCAGTATATGCACACCTTCCAGTACACACACATGTTCATATGCACACCTTCCAGTACACACACCTTCCAGTACATCCACATGTTCAGTATATGCACATGTTCAGTATACCCACATGTTCAGTATATGCACTTGTTTCAATTTATGCACCGGTTCCAGTATTTACACATGTTCTGTATATACACCTGTTCAGTATAGCCACATGTTCAGTATATACACCTGTTCAGTATACCCAGATGTTCAGCTAGTATACCCACCGGTTCAGTATAAGCACATGTTCGGTATATGCACGTATCCAGTATATACACGTGTCAGTAACACCCCCCACCCCCAAACCACCACACACTACACAGCCCCCTCTTCTCCCAGTTTTCCCGATTCAGGTTTCGTCATCACTGTTATTGTATATTTAAAGCATTGAGCCTAAAGGAATATTGACATTTATCCCATCCTAGGCCTCACTCCCTCCTTCATATACCCCCCCCCCCCCCCTCCTCCTCCATTTGCACTACCACGACCGCCATTACATGGTTGTCATATGCAATATGGTGGATGCAGTTTGGTGAATGTAGTCGAATGTAGATATCTACCTGACCGATTTCCGTTGAAACAGCTGCAATTACCTCATTATCTGAAACTCTTCTTATCTTGGATAAACACTCGCCATGTTTCTGTATTGTGATTGTAAGCAATGGAATTTTACTCAGGTCCAGACACCGTGTACCTCTTACTGACAACTCACTTGCGTCATTCATCTTCCGCAGATCGGTGCTATTGTACAGCGCCGCAGATATATGTCATGCGTTTTCTATAACACCAGCTTGCTTTTGGTTAGGACAAAAAGGAAGTATTCATCTCCAGTCTGATAGAAGTACTCAACCATCTATTCATTGTGCGGTTCACATCAGCGGTTCTGTAAGAAATGGCATATATACTGAACAAAAAAAAAAAGAAACTTTACATTTTGAGTGAGTGAGGTTAGTTTTACACCTCACTCAGCACTATTCCAGCTATATGACGGCGGTCTGTAAATATTCGAGTCTGGACCAGACAATCCAGGGATCAACAGCGAGTCAGCGAGCCTGACCGCCCCATCCATTAGTCGTCATTTACGACAAGCATGGGGGTATGTTCTCATTTCGCCTACATCCCAATTCGCCTACAGTCTTAAAACAACATGTCATGGTCTGTTGACTGTTGATTACGCAATGGTGAACTAGCGAATTGAGATGTAGGCGAATAGAGACTAAACCAGCATGGGTTATTGGAGACCAATCTAACCCGGATTTTCACGGGTAGACACATTTTGAGAAATGAACTACATGCAAAATAGCTATGGCAAAAGCTATCTGGTTATATATATGTCATTTCTTTCCATGACAAAAGGTTATCCGTTGCCGGTATTTTTACCCGAGCTCATGTTAGAGTTTTACGTCATGCCAGACCAGATATGAACACTGTAATTGCAATAGGTAAAAAAGTTCACGCCTCTTCAACCATACTAAAAGCTTTGATTATGTACGCTCTGCACATACCTGGCAGGAGAAATAGCCTTTCATATGCGCTGATGTGAATCGAACAATGAAAAGATGGTTAAGTACTTCTGTCAGATTGCAGCTGCATATATCCTCTATCCTCTTGTCCTAACCCCAAAGAACGCATGCGTTATAGATAATACAGTGCACTCTGTCCAACTCGGACTCTCTCTTTCTCGGATTGCTGTATAAACCGGACTGAACTTACGGTCCCGACGTAATCCTTCTTTGTTGTCATAATGAAACAGCTCTGTATCTCGGACTCTCATTATTTCGGATTTCGGACCAAAGTGTCAGCCCGAAAAGGTAGTTACACGTAAAAACCTTTGATGCGATTAACACCAATGTGTAAACTATAATTGAGAGTGTTTCCGAGGTCTGCCGACTGTTTGGTAGTGTTTGCCGAGGTCTGCCGAATGTTTGTAAACGTTTCCTGAGCCATACACACTGTTTGGTATTGTTTCCCGAGATCTACTGAATGTTTGTAAACGTTTCCTGAGCCATACACACTGTTTGGTATTGTTTCCCGAGATCTACTGAATGTTTGGAAACGTTTCCTGAGCCATACACACTGTTTGGTATTGTTTGTTGTTAGTTTACTCTCCAGCTATTTTACACCTCCCAGATCCAAGGGAATACATTAAAAAGGAGACCAACTCAAGGGGTCCAGAAAGACTTGGCAAGTCTCGATTGCTCTTGGAGTTGAATGAGTGAGTTTAGTTTCACGCCGCTTTTAGTAATATTCCAGCAATATCACGGCGGGACCCAGCTCTTGGAAGATTTTTCCGGGCTCCATTTTGATTGTCTTTGCAGATATATATTTTGAACAGACACATTTTTTGTAAAAGTCAGCCTATTGCATGTGATATAATGGGTGTATTTTTCTCAGCCGCTAGGTCCAACAGTTTACGGGACGATGTCGCTGTTGATAACCCAGTGGTTAAAGTGTTCGCTCGTCACGCCGAAAACTCGGGTTCGATTCCCCACACATTGGTACAATGCGTAAAACCCAAGTCTGGTGTCCCTCGCCCTGATACTGCTGAAATATTGCTAAAAGAGGCGTAAATCTAGACTATCTCACCCATAGTTTTACTAACCCCGTCACCCGTGAAGGTCCGGGTTAGAATATTGATCTTCAGTAACCCATGCTTGTCGTAAGAGGCGACTAACGGGATCGGGTGGTCAGGCTCGCTGGCTTGGTTGACACATGTCATCGGTTCCCAATTGCGCAGATCGATGCTCATGCTGTTGATCACTGAATTGTCTGGTTCAGACTCGAATATTTACAGACCGCTGCCATATAGCTGGAATATTGCTGAGTGCGGCGTAAAACTAAACTCACTCGCCCATAGTTTAACTTACCCCGTCGCAACGTTTACATGAAACCGGACCCAGTTGCGTACTTGATAGGCTCGCAGTGACCGAGCCTGCTTGTTATGACGTATGCATGCAATCTGTCAGAAGGGCTTGATATATGCTGTAACGTGACTCTTCGCAATTAAGTATATGACTCGTTTACTGATTTTCTGAAATTTGATTTGAATAATGGTGGTAGAGTGGACGAAATGGTAGAAATCAAGTACCACAGTTGCGGTCATTGTGGAGTGAGTGAGTTTAGTTTTGCGCCGCACTCAGCAATAAACCAGCTGTATGGCGGCGGTCTGTAAATAATCGAGTCTGGAACAGACAATCCAGTGATCAACAGCATGAGCATCGATCTACGCAATTGGTATACGATGACATGTGTCAACCATGGTAATTGTTGTGACGTTAGACTGATGTTGAAACTCCCATGGATTTGCTGTATGAATGAAAACACTGAATAAATAAATAAATAAATAAATAAATAAATAAATAAATAAATACACTGTGGAATAAATAAATAAATAAATACACCTGACGTTCAGGAATCATAATAATAATTATAAATAAATTTTTTGAAAAGTGTTTTGATTGTGACTATTGTCACAAA